TCGACGAAGACTAACGCCGGGTTCAATAATGCTAATGGAATATGACGGCGAAAATCCAACGTAAAGCGGAAATGTGACGCAAAACGCGGAATAACCACCGAAAAAATCTGAAAAAAAATAGCAGGGACAGAATCTGCAACATTTCTAAAAATTGTACGCAGCATAATCTCATATGATTGTACTGCTCAACAGCTTCTATTTGATCTAAATACTATAAGACATAAAATATTGAAATAATATAAGAATATATAGGCTCGAAAAATCTGTCTACGTGCCCTTAGGTAAGCTCAGGGTGCGACGAAATTACTTGCTCAAAGTTACAGCGGTTGTTCCATTGACATTGTGAGCGCTAAGCGAGTGCTTGGTGATCAACCTTGTGGTTACCGCGTATCTGTGCTACGAATCCCCCTTCTCAGCGCTCACGATTTTCGGAATGGATGGCTCTCTTCCGCCGAGCCTATGACCACTCAGTTGAACGTGCTTGGTCCCAGTGCGAAAACAATAGCCAAAATACTACTAGTACGTGGCATAACTGTGGAGTTTGTCATCAAATGATAAAAGGACTCCGAAGCTATGAAATACCGCTGAGAATGGTGGACACCACCAGCTGCAACTTCCACGAAAAATGTTAAAGTGGTACGAGATATGGTGCGGCCCAATCCGACGAGGTCGCTAACAAACATAGTCAAGAAGCTAGAAAAAAGCTATCCCTCAAGCTGTCATATTGCTGAGAAAAAGCTATCACTTTGGATTAATAGCTGCCAAAATGCCTCACTCCATGCTCCATCCATAAAGATAATCCGGTGCGAGAACTTCAAGATGTTTTCCGAATGATTACGTCGGCGCGCCACCGAGAGATGGTCTTCTTCGGTGAAATGCTGCCGTTCAGGGTGAACTCAACTTCCGATCGTCAAAATGATGGAGGACTTTGCCTAGGGACGGTGGAAGCTGACGATAGATGGAGAATCGTGAATGTTGCGGAAAGGCAACAAAGTCATGGTCTGGTTGGCGATCAGCCATGAAGTCGTGTCCCCACTTGTTTTTGGGCGACGGACTTTTGGTGCGTCCGGGGTTGAACGCGGCGGGCTGCGCGGCGATCCGGACGAGGCAAGTCTTCGCGGGCTCCTGCAGTGGAATTCAACACGTCAGAACGTGTGCAGATCGCGGATAGAATCCACAAGGTTCTGCTTTGAAAGAAACTTCCCACTCGGTGAAATGCAGCGGTGTCAGTGAGAAGATTGAAAGGAGATGAAAGAGAGAAACTTCATAGAAATGTCACTATTATCATATTATAAATATGAATAAGAAGCACTAAAAATGGAGTCATTTAGTGAGATGTTATTTATTGTCAACTCTATATCTTTGCTAATCGCGGCGCTCCTGTCCTTGGGGAGAACTTTCAAAACAGGGCCAATGGAAGGTGACACTAGAACTAAGTACGCTCGGGAGAACAGAAATTGCTCACATCCTCCACGAGAAACTCTTCCCCTCAGGCTTAGTCCCAAACACAATAATTGGTTGAATCTCTCCGCTCATGGGATTCCCCCCCCCCCCCTTAACAACAAGCGCCAGCAACCTAAGCGCCCTGATTGCTATAACAGCCTTTTGCTATTCCTTTTCTTCTCTTCCTGCCGCTGCCTTTGAATATCCACGCGTTGGAATGTAATTCAAATCGCACCTTGTGGATTCTATCCGCGATCACACGTTCTGACGTGTTGGATTCCACCGCAGAAGCCCGCGAAGACTTGCCTCGTCCGGATCGCCGCGCAGCCCGCCGCGCGATTCGCCGCGTGCAATCCCGGACGCACCAAAAGTCCCGCACCCCTTGTTTTTATCAAATAAAGATACTCCAACACTGAAGCAAATGTTAACCAGGAATGTGTGCTGACTAACATCTCACTTTCCTAAACAGAATCCCACATTGGATCGGGACCGCTCGTGCCTCAGCAGGGTGCAGCACTAGTTGGTGGAGCGACGATGAAATCGCAGCAAGCGAGAACAACAGCCCTGGCCTCACCAGCGCTCTATTACGGTCAATCAAAAGTACTTACTTCAACAGAGTGGAATATTTCGTGTTGAGCTTTTTAGAGAGCAAGGCCTGCTCGTAACAACACCACCCAGCCGCAGCCCAGATAACGAACCTGCTCTACGTTTAGGAAGAAATTTGTTTGGAGCACCTACGCGCCACAGTGGACGACCTCTCCTCACAACTAAAGGCTAAAGCTCAGTCCAAAAGAGACACTTTGAGATGTGAAGCCGGATTTGGTAATGGCATTTCATTCGTAAACTTCGTTAGAAAACGAGCCCTCAATTTCACTGTTTTACAGTTTTTACAAGGGCGAAAACTTGAGCAAGTAATTTTGGTGCACTCTGTAGAAATACGTAGATTGTTGAAGCATGATAGATTGGTAAGCAGAATATCGAAGCAGAATAATTAATAAGTTAAGATAAGCTAAGGAACCGAAAAACTTTCTTTAACTGAAGAAACTGACCGCACTGGTACTTGAAAAGTATAGAAAGTTAGTTATTATTGCTGTAAACAGTTAACGAATAGATATTAAAGGGTCCCGCATTCAACTGCAAACGAGATGGATCACTAGGAAATTATGGATTGGCAAATAAGAGAGTGCATACCGTAACTGACGCCACCGCACGTCGCTCGTGTCAACAGAATCGGAAAGGGTGGGACGAGAACTACTTCACACCTATGGGAATCGCCAGTGCACTTGGTTAAGTAACGAACGCTGACATTCACGTCAGAGCCGAGGCTAATCAGGAAAGGTCTTCCAGGAAAGCTCTTCTGAAACGAGTTTTTTTTTGCATATTTCAAGTGTAGGTGTGGAGGTATGGGAAAGGAAGGCAAGGCAAGAATAATGACAGTTTTCCCTACGTGATTGCGCTCGCGTCAAAATAATGGGAGCTATTGTTTTGCAAAACAGCGGTTCTAGCACTGAGCGTGCACTAATCAAAGTATGAGAGTTTTGCTATTTTTTCGTCACTACGCGATATAAATGTAAATTTATTTTTAAGTTCCCGCTTCCTATTCACTGGAAATAGTTCGCAACAAATTTACTGTGCAATAATCGCATTTTCGAGGAAACTTCTATGCTCCTTTCCTAGTGCTTTTACGACAGTTCTGAAAAATCGACCGAATTTCCGTATTCCGCTGAAGCAACTCAAAAAAATAAAGTGGTAAAAGAGCACATTAGCAGCATCTAATTTAGTTTGCAGTTGTTGTCGGATGTATGTTAAATATTAAAAAAATCTAGTGCAGCATTCTTCACTTGAACTCCTTATGGCTGTCACGCTAATCGGCTAATGCTACTTCCAAGTTAACTAATTTATCACACATTCAATGAACAGATGAAGTGCAGCATCTCTTTAAACCTACGGAACTGGTTCACGGAAAAAGGTTCGCAAAATTTCAGAATATTTATAGTAGGCGGCCCATATATTTGAAACGACGAACTTCCTATCATGGAAAGGTGATTAACATTTCAATCCTATTTCTTTTAAAACACTAAATCCGTTCCCCTTCTACATCTGGAAACACAACCCTCAAAGCATACCCTTAATGAGTGAGCTCAGAGTAAACCACCTGGATTTCGTTTCTTGATGGTCCTAGCAAGCGAATCAGAGCGTAAAGATTCTCGAGATTGTTTTTGCACTCCGAGCGCCATAGCAGTAATACTTTCACGTGAGCAATCATTCTAGAACACTCAAACACATTGTCCGTGAAAACCATGTGGTCTCAATTTCCCCATTATACGAAGGGGTTACGCCTGTATCGCCCGAGGAGAGAGGAAAGTGTGAAATAGTCAAGTCTGTTCTGAAGAAAAAATGAGAAAGCGATAAGCGATCTGTTTGCTTGAAATGCAAAAAGAGGTTTTATCTCTCCACAGTTTGCAAATGGAGCCAACGATTTAATGGCAGTGGCCACGATAATTGATCTTGTTCAACAATGAAAACAGAGCTGCCAGATGGCGCAGCAAGGTGGAAGAAATCGGTAGAAACTGTCACAAACTCAGAAATAGCATTCTCATCCTCCCGATTGGATCTGGACGAGTTTGAGACTGAGATACTTGGCATGTTAGGTTTTCCGATAGGAGATAATAGACGACAGATTTAGGGGGTATGGGTGTTTTAATGAAGGCACTTCTTAAATGAAATCACAATGTCATCACAACGGTACCACGAGGTACCATCTGAGAGCGGGGCAGAGTGGGCGGCACGACTGTCAATTTCTGGGTGTCCCCCAGGAGCCCATCGCGCGGCGAAGGAAGAGACGCAGACGCGGCAAAGGACGAGTCGCTTACCTCTCATATCGCACAGCACGCGCTGCGACTCGTCCTTTGCCGCATCTGCGTCTCTTCCTTCGCCGCGCGATGGGCCTCTTGGGGGACACCCCCAATTTCTAGACTAATTGTCTCACCCTTTCCCAGGAAACACCATGGGTGGCCATTATTTCCATGGATGCATACAAGTGCCTGTAGCAGACCTAGTTCATCATACTCTCAGCATTCAAGGAACTGTTTCACAAAAAGCAATAGTGTTCTTGTCAAGTGGAAAAATATAATTCATCAACGAGAGTTTCCTATGCCGTATGTTGTTACTTTACCTGCAGATCCTTTTGCTATCTTCTCAAAACGATTTCTGGTCATGATCTGTGTCTCTGATCCTGCCGGAAAGACCTTTTTTGAAGGGTTTTGGCCGAAAAATTTAAATTGTCGTTTCTGAAACGCTGTAAATGATTCACAGCGCTCACAGACAGCCCAGCCCATTCACGTGTGAAGAATAAGTGAAATTTCTCGATGGATGATCTTTCCATTTGAGTACTGCTCTTCAACCGCTGAATCTCTTGTAAAGTGCGACATTCGGCTGCCTCAATCCGGGCGAAATTATACTCTATGGAGCTTATTAACAGTCTCCTTTATTCCTACCATAAAAGAAGGGCATACGTAGAAACCTCCACTACAAATGTGAAATCAAGTCCAGATTTTTGTAGGAGTGCTGAATTAGTAGGACACTGAAAACAGCAAATAGGCTTAGGCTGTCCCATAATTAGTTTATCACTTTACCCTTATTGCTCAAAAAATCCTGAAAAATTGCTAATGGCATGAAACATGTTTTTCCGAATGAAGCACTTTCCCCACTTAGCTATCCTTCACTCATGACGCCTGCTTGGTGTACTAATATTATATTACATCTTTCTGAACTTTTCCATTTGCCCTATGTTCTTGGACCCTCCTTCATTCACCTCCGATCAGGATTCAAATGGCCATCGTCAACATAGAGGATCTGATCACGAAGACGAAGCGATGGGCTAAGCTCAGCCTCCGGTCCTTCAGTGATAACTCTGTTACGATTTGTTCCTTTTGTTTGATGGTGAATCGTCACACAGTCACTCCCCGATTTCTCTACATTGATCTCTACCGGCGTTAGGAAAAGGAACATAATCACTTATTTGTCACGGCATTCCTGCTGCGCTTAAGTGGATCAGTATTATGACAGTTTCTCTCGGAGTCGTGAAATTTCAATAAACTTGAGTTTATCTCTACATTCTTGGACTCGATTCAGCTCCAACGCCCCACACGGACGTCATCCATGTTGTATTGCTGGTTTTCCCACAATTCGTTTTATACTTATCATCCCATCGTTTCCACCGGTCTAACGTGACTAGTACCTCCTGAATGACTCGAGAATTTTGGCAGGATGAGCGCAACCTCTTCTGACGATGAGTCCGACCCTTGCAAAATGTTGGTGGAACACGAGAAGGGATTTGCGCTGAGAACCGCCCCCGAGTAACTCCAGATCCTGAGAAGACAGTTTTGGCAGCTTTGGTAGCGGAACGCTTAGAGTTGAGGTAAAGCAAGGCAAAGTCTGCTTTTTTTCTGAAGTCCATCGACCTATTTTGCGGAGAATGTTTAGTTGGGAACTCTCCGGGCTGACAGTTCTTTCAGCTCTCGTGTAGTCCTAACCTTGTGTCTACAAGACCACCTACTTTTGACCCTAGCGCTTTTCCTCAGGATGGAATTTTGAGCTTAATAACATGATCTAAGAAGGACTTAGGTGAAGTCACGGTCACGATGGAAGATGCCCCGGACAGAGCAAAGTGGCGACGACTGACAAGGACAGCGGACCCTGCGACTGCGCGGGACTAACGCTAGGGAGAAGAAGAAGAGAGAGATGATCCTGAGCGACGCCAGCTTTTTTTTACGATCTGGAAAATACAGATTCAAGCGCAGCAACTGGCTCCTCATGCGTAGGCAATTCTTGAAAGACAACAGATGTGTGCGTTTGGATGATCAAGCGCTTCAGAAAAAAAAAAAACAGAAAAAGTCTAAATCGAAAAATAGTCATGTGATTCACTATTATAGGACAACCCTATAAAATCTGTTTCACTGAAAACAGGCAAAAATCTTCAGGGGAGTTCATCGTCGACTTCATCGAGGAAACCGTTGAGAGAATAAACAAGCTACGAATGAAGACTTCTAACAAGACCTACGGAACTCAATTTGACGAAAATTAGTCCAAGTCGAAACAGAGCTTTTCGATGAAAGCGACAATTTATTGGATGTGAACGACAGGTCGAAGAGCGTCTTGGGCCCTGATGGAGAACAGACGATTACCGCGTGGTTGAATTACGACCGATGATGTGCTGTTCAGATTCAGCAGAATGTTCACATTATCAAACGAGGCTCGCATGCCCATTGAAGGAAGTGCTGAAGTTCTAAAAAAGCCAACTCAATTCGTCAGCAGTTAGCTCCCAAAGAATCTGAATCGCTGTATCAAAGTCAACCGAAATCCACACATTAATTAATACACGATTGTTGCATTTTGTGAACGTTTTACTGTGCACGATATCAGAGAAGCCATTTGAAAAAATAGAATGCGTAAGTAACTACTACAACACTGCTGTTGCTCTGAATATTTTCGGAAATTGTTGAGATACAAATGATTCACCCACGGCGCACCACGTTTGCTCTTTTGGGTAGTGAAAGCACGAAACAACGTCTAGTGCTTAAAAGTAAAGCAGATTGAGAAATGAAGCGAAACACAGCATAGGGTTAGGATGGTGAAGCGTTTGAAGGTTGCAAGGAATGATAGGAAAGAATAAGGATGAGTCCAAGCCGCAGTAAAAAGGCCCTCATAAAAAACGGAAGTCAGGACAAGAGAGAATTAATGGCAGCGAGGGCGATGAAGAGAAATTTGTATAATATAAAAAATGAGCTATATCTTCAAAGAACACGAGCACACTAGATAGCACAAAAACCACGCGGTGTTATTCGTACTTCCGCACTCCCCTTATCTAACGTCACCCTGACCATTTTCCTTATTTGAACTCACATCCAGAAACTTTCATGTAAAAGTTTGTAGACTGTTAACTTTTTTGTTTTTTAAGTTCGTTTCGTAAGACCTGAAAATAACTTCGTCATGAGTTGGTATGAAAATATAAAGATCGGTCGATTATACGGATGAGCCCGGTGCATTTGACGACTTTTCAAAGAGTCATGATCCACCAATTATTTGAGAGATAGGATGATCAGCACCAGTCAAAACTAATTTAAAATATAATACAATGAAATTATCTCAAGAAAAAGATTGTGCGTCGTAATGCCAGATGACCGCAATGCCTCTCGCAGCAGGCCTTCAAACCAGTTCGGCTCAGCGAGTTATCCGTCCGTCCGAAATCGACTAATTGACACCAGTTTTGTCTGGGAGGATAAAAAACACTGAATTTGGCGCCAGTTGGTTGCGCAAGACATTGTGTATGCATTGGAATTCCTCAGCGATTCTGAACGCAACTCGCGCGATCTATAGGAATTCATTAATGCCGATCACTCTTTGTATCTGCCACTCTGCAGACAAATGAATAAAACATAATCTCATTCTTAGTCAACAATCGACTTGTCTACTGAACAACAGAATTCACTCTTCGTAGTTTTCTGGAACTCCACTAGTATTGACGCCTGAGGCCAAGCCAGAAAGCCACTTCAAAATGTATGAGTCCTAAATGTGTTCAGACCAAGCCATTTGCAGACAATCGATTCTCTCCTATAAGCTCGTTGCCGAGGAATTTAACGAAGCACTATCAGAAAGAAATAAATCAGGTTAGAAGAGTACATTTCAACAGGAGACCAGCTGCTGCTAGTGAAATGAAAACAAGTAAAATGTGTATATAAATGTTGTTGAGTTCCTAATCTGAAACCCTTTCACAGTTCAAAAAAAAACTACAACAAAAAGTAGTGTGCAGTACACTTTAAATTAAAGATTTGCACGCTCAAAAAATGTCAGAATTTTTTTAACAATGAACGCGTGAATTCGGATCGGCCTGTTGCGTACATGCACAACAAACAAAAAAATAGATTATTAATAAAAAGATATTTATTAAAAATTGTCTCGAGAAAAAAAAACATAAAAAAGGGAGACTTCATTGTCAAAACCTAGAGAAGTCTGCAGCTTGGGCTAGCATCAGAGTGCACTGAGAAATAGGAAAATGAAAAAAAGAGAAGGAATGCAAACGAAAGCTGATGGAAGCCAATCAGATGAAGCCAGGAAGTGTGACGAACACACAGGATTCATGGGAGATCCGCACTAGCGGAGGCCATAGAAAAGTGACTAGAATTCTTCGGCTAATAAAAGAAGGGAGTATGTGTGTTGAGCTTGGACGACATGTCAGCCAGCGTTCCGTTGTGTAGTGAATTCCTTATCGTGAGTGTTTTGGAGCAGAAGCGATAAGTGACGCAGTCTCAAGCACAGATTGTTCGTTTAGTGCCCAAAAATGCAATAAACTAACAAATCTATGCTAGAGAGATTCCGTCACCTCCTTCAATGAGGTCGACCCAATCTATTGCTTCCTTCATTGGAATCTGACTACGACACGTTTTTGCCTCATTTCTTCGTCGGCTGCATGCACTTCCACAGAAGGACAAGCTAGCCTTTGTGAAAAAGTCATCCGTTCACTGCAGGTGTTTTACAGTCAACTGACTCAGCCCTGCTGTAACACCTCAGACAAGATATCAAGGCGAAAACGCAACATGTGTGTTGCGAAAAGTGCTCTCAGTGTAACTATTCAGAGCAACCACATTCTAACCCACTCCACTTTGCCTGAATAACTTCTGTGCTCTGCTCAGAAACTAAAAATTTTAAGAAGAATTTCTAGTTCTAAGCAAATGTCACTATGGGTTCAACTGCTTGTGGACAGATAGGTGTAGTGTGTGATTGAGAACAGTCGAAATTGAGGAGCCCCCCCCCCTCTCGGACTTCGCAAGACAAGCAACATTCCTCCACTATAAATTGAAAGAAAATAACGTCACAATATCCAGACATAAGAAGTACCGGAGTACGCCCCTCTAATAAAAAGGTTAGGGTTGAGCAAAAGCATAGAAATTAGAAATTTTTAGGGGGGGGGGAATAATTAGTTCGACTTCCGTTTCGCACGTGCCCTTAGACGGAAGCCAAACTGGAAAAATACCCTCCCTCCGTGCTCTTCAGTAAGGAAGGGAGGAAAAAGTGTTGAATGAGCATAATTTTTATAGTTGGCAATAAACCATTAGAAAAACGTAAAAGTATGATTGAACTCTGTAATGAATGTGATAGTAGGGATGTTACCAGCTATCATAACTTGATAGATTTGTAGTAATTCGCAGATCCTCTTTTTATTGAAGGACTTTTCCTCTAATAATAAGCCCTTCAATAAAAAATGGAACTACATCTATTCCCGTTTACCGGAGTTGATACTACACCAAATTCGGGTTATTCCTGTTTCCGGTTACCGAAAGCCGTATTGCACGAACTTGGGGTCACACCTCTCCTTTTCGGCGCACCCAATTGTCACCGAAAGCTGGATGGTATTGTTCTAGGAAACAATTGCAGTGTCAGGAAGGGACAAGCTGTCGCAATTTCAAAATCAGTAATGTGTTATATTTTCTGCTGCTGCAGTACCAATCTTCATTTTACACCATTACAATAACTAGAAGCGTAATGGTGTGTGAATAAAGTTTGGCACTACATTTGCGTAACATAATAAATACATTACTAATTTCAAAATTCGATGACCTGGGGTGCGTTACAGTTCTCCTCCTCAGGTCAGGTCACCTAAAATTGAGACACCATCATTTGCTCGAAGCAAGCTTAGGACTAAGCCTAGGCCCAATCATAGGCTTAGGCATAAGCCAATGTGTAAGCATAAGCCTTAACCTAAGCCTAAACCCAAACTTAACCTTAAGCTTCAATGATCGCGCAGCTCTGCTGACCTGAGCATAGGAGGAGAACTGCACGTCTCCGCAAAATGGGATCCGTATCCTACGATCGCGCACTATCCTAGGTCCATTGTATAACTAGGGGAAATTTAATTTAGATGGAGGAGGATATAAATTCTTAAACGTTGTGAATGCAATCGATATTCAAACTGTTCGAGACCCTCCCCTGCAAGGTCAATAGTCCCTTGATAATTTACCAACGAGAGTAGTCATAGTTGGAGTTTCTGAGGAGGAGGGCTATGTCTTGGTTTTATGTGCTGATGATGTCGCAACAAACCACGATCCCCCTCTTCCCCTAAGCGTGGGGGCGGATTTGGAGTATGTCGACTGGTCGCAGAATCAAGGGAGCAGCTATGGTGGGAGGGGGAGCCATCCGGGTGACCCCCTTTAATTGTTGTGATATGGAGGGTTCGTGAAATTTTGAAAACTTCCCATCATCACGGCCTCTCCAGACTTGATGGAAATAAACAGCCGGAAAGACCTTGATTAGTATTCAATTCTCAACCGAGTCATGGAAACCTACGGTGACCACATCACCGCGTAAACCTCTTTTAGTACTATGAAGCTCGAATACGAGATTAGATACGATTATGGGGTGTGGCCATTCATTTACCGGAAGATGGGAGGGTAGTTGTGAGCGATTGTTACGTCACACGATAAAGGGATGCGTGCAGTGCGGCCTACGCATGAAACAGTAAGCGTTATGAATCCAGGCAGTAAAAGAAGATGCAAAAGATAACGCATTGAGTGAGAAGCTTCTCTTAATAGTTGATTGAACCTCTCTGCCGTGGCTGTAGCAATTGCAAAATCAAGTTTGAGGTCCGTATTACCAGCGCAACAGCATATTTCTTCTACTCCTACTAGAGTTGGGTTCAGATGACTTTTCCTGCCAGATTTTGTATCGCGCTTGCCATTTTACTGTGGGTTATTGTCAGCATAACAAGAATTTGTGCATAAGTAGAACGCGATGGTCTCCCCAACCGCTAGATTTCAATAATTTCCAAAACACTTGCAAAACATTCATAATGTTTTCAAAATCGTGAAGTACAACGTTCTGCAAGACCATAAGCTTTTTCGAAATGACCAAGAAATTAAGAATTTTTTTCGACATAAACTTAAAAAATAGGAGATGTTGCAATTTTCGCAGTCTCCTTCTATATTAGTTTTGGTCGAAAAGATCCCAAAATTTGTTACAGTGTCGTTCATGGGCTTACAAGTAATAAGCAATAGCAAGAGTGAAGGAAAAAAATCAGGGCTGAAAAGGTCAAGGGTTCTCTGCTTAGTAGTAGTAGTCTATGGCAAAGAGAGTGTGTGTCCCAGCGAGAGGTCCTGACGACGAAAAGGCGAAATAAGATAGAAATCAGAGGTGATGGAGCGAGGCTGCTGGCGCTGACGGCATTTGGAACTTATATAATCTTTACCAAGAAGCCCTCTGCCTCAGTGATGGCA